TAGTTTATCTCTCATGAAGCTCAACCAAACCCGATTATTATATATAAGGTTTAGGTCATTTTTAGTCACTGAAAAACCTGAAAATTTTAGTTTCACTTTGGGTCCCTTGTAAACTCTTTGCATCGGGTGGTCAAAGTAGACTATGTCTTGGTAGGTATGAATCAATTGAAAACACGAACAAGTCTATGTCTTCTTCTAGGAGCTCGAATCAGTGGACTCGGTCCTTTGAATTCTATGGTAAGTGATTAATTGATTATTATCGGATCTCCTTTAAATTCTAAAAATCCAAAATACATATAAGAAAATAATTAAGATGACATTAATTTCTATACATTAAAATGACAACTAAATACAAAAGATTTATGAGACCAAAGTGAAACTAAGCAGCAACTCGGACTGGGTGCATTAGTTCTGGAGACAAAAGAGATGGGTGGAGGAGGACAAAATAGTCTTTTTAAAATCATATGGACAATACGAGTTAAAAAAAAAAAGATGTTAAGGACTAAACGCGCATGCGATCCTAAATCACATGGATCATTCATGTAATTTACTTTAAAATAATTGATGTAACAAGCTTAATTGTGGATGAAAGGAAAAAAAAAAGTATTTTTATTATTTTCTTTTAAATGATAATAATAAAGTAATGTGGTTGAAATGCAAATTTTAAACTAATTCAGTGATTAATGGGAACTTAAACAAAGTATAATTACTAAAATAAGATCAGAAAAGTTCGATAACTAATTATAACCTTGATGAACTTGTTCTATATAACAAGTAGCAAGATAAACCTTTGATTTCATGGTCCCTATTGATCTCTATCGTATTTCTAATCCTATCAAGTTTTTAGGGGTGTCAATTTATAACACGACACGACAAAAATACACGAAACGAAACGAAATCAGGACGAAACCAAAATTTGAATTCGTGTTCGTATCGTTTTCGTGTCAAGATTAAAAAACACGATGTCGTGTCGTGTCGTGTTCGTGTTCATAAATCGGCACGAAATTGACACGATTAAGCATGTGGTTGTCGTGTTTTTCGTATTTGCCGTTTTTGTCGTGTTATATATCTGTAAGTATGAACGAAATCCACTAATAGTTATGTAATATTATATTTTTCGTGTCGTGTCGTGTTGTCGTGTTTTAATTGGGTCGTTTTCGTGTTAATGAAAAAAAAACACGACATCGTGTCGTGTCGTGTTCGTGTTAAACAAAACATTGTCGTGTCGTGTCGTGTCAGACAAAAACACGACACGACTGCCCGATTTGACAGCCCTACAAGTTTTCACCATCATTTCACTTGATAGTGTCTTCTTCCTATGCATCCAAATATCTTTCGTTTGTTGTTGCCTAAATCTTTATATGGCAATTGATTCTTCACATGTAATCCCTTGATCCATACATGTCGGCAATCAAGTGATGAAACATATGTGCCTACCACTACTTCATATATTGGTGTTATTGTTGTTGAGGGTGAAAGACCAACTCAACCAACATGATTATAGGTCACGTTCATCATGTAAGCTTTGTACATTTTCTTATATATTGATTGAAATAAATAATATATAAACTATAAAGTATTATAGAAATGATTTGTACATTTGCTTCCAAATAAATAAGATGGTGTTTCTCATTATATAGTGTTTTACCAAAAATACAAAAACAATTAGATATTACAAACACGTTAAATAATGTTTAGAACCTATAAAATCAATGAAAATTATACAAGTACAAGGCATATTGGGCTCGGAAAATGACATGTTGGGCTTAGTCTCATAGTGCAACCCAATCATTTTTAGATAACTTTCATTCAAGTTCATGACATTCTCTGCTAATGTGATTCGTTCATAAAGGGTGTTGCTAATAAGATATCTTTTAGACACCCTATAATCAATTCTATAAGAAGTCAACCTATAATCAACTACTTGTAATCATCTTTTTCGAAAAACAATGCAATTTCAACCAATAAAAATATTTCAAACATTAATTAGGGTTGTCTAAATGGTAAAATAGGGTGTCTTTTTAGCCCACCCCTTCATAAAATGGTGGAGTTGACTATATTGCATTTTTATTATTTATATAGAACTCACAAATTACCTCGTATCTGCAAACATGATAATCAAGACCCGTAACATGTTGCTAATGACTAACTGTCAAAGATCCTTGAGAACTGCACCTATATTATGATGTGTAATGTACACACATGATCTCGCAACTGATTAAACTCATACACGAGTTTTACAACACAACTTTCAACAAATTGCATTGATTGCAGTCCTAAAGTGTCATTTCAAATTAGTACAAAGTGACTAATTATCTAAGAATAAATTTGACATAGAATGTGAAACAATTAAAGAACATAACATAAAAGATAAACAAGGTTCTTATGTTTATTATTCATTATGTCTCATATTTATTGTCTACTTTTAACTTTTGAAGTCTTTATTCTTTAAATTTGAACTTATATATTTTTGTTTTTTTAATATATAATATTTGATGAATGGATAGTGTGTAAAATTTGAACTTAAATACTTTTAACTTTTGAAGTCTTTATTCTTTAAGGTTCTTATGTTTATTATTCATTATGTCTCATATATATATATATATATATATATATATATATATATATATATATGAATGGATAGTGTGTAAAATTTCTTTTCACCATTAGAAGTTTCATCAATTAATTTATAATACAAATAAAATATTTAAAATCAAAGTTAAAAAATAAAGATTTCAAAAATCAAAAATAAATAATAAAATGAGATGCAAAAAGTATTATAGAAAAGTACATGAGTAAACAGGTGTCATGTCAACTCATGTACGTAAACAATTGAAATCTCTTATCTATACTCGTTTATTTCGTGTCAGGTTTATGTCCTATTAACTTATAATGTTAGTTTTTTTTATCTCGTCTATTAATAACAAATAAATCATATATATATATATATATATATATATATACTATACTATACTATACTATACTATACTATACTATACTATACTAATCTACTCCTAAACTAACACCTAATTCCACCTATATCCACGATGGGACTTGAACCCTCGACCTCAAAAAGAAAGGGCACTACCTGATACCATTGGACTAGAAGCCCTTTGGTCATATAAAACCATATATAATGTTGTAAATATATTTGTTTTTTATATAGGAAACCTCTACAATAGGGACTATAAATTCACAAATCAAAATGATTATTTGATTAATTATGTGATATTAGTTGAAAGTTTGTTTATATTAATATATTAGCCTTGTATCTAATCAATCTTTTTGGAATTTACTCAACATTCAAAGTATTATTTTCCAAAGACAAAATTGCACAAATAGTCCCTGTGGTTAGCTGAAAATTGTCACTTTGGTCCAAAAATATTTGGACTAGCACCAGAGGTCCAAACTTTTCATTTTGTTGCGAGTTTGATCCACTTTTCTATAAACTTTTTCATAATGACTATTTTGCCCTTATTTTTTTTCTTTTTCAGTTTTTTTATTATTTAAATACTTTTTATGATTAAAAGAAAAAAAGAAAAAAGAAAATTTTCATTTTTATTTTATTTTTATAATTTTTTTATAACAAAATAAAAAAATAACAATAAAATCTCTCTCTCTCTCTCTCTCTCTCTCTCTCTCTCTCTCAGAGAACATCACTACCCTTACTCCCTCACCCAGGCTTTACTCTCGCCGGAAATCGTGAACACCACAGGCAGAAAAGATGACCACCACCGACAGAAAAGATGAACGCCACCAGATCGAAGCTCTGGCAGCGAAACCCTAACCCTAAAAGTCCTAGGCTGTGACACAAAGATCGAAGCTAGGGATTGAATCGACCGCAACCTCTGAAAACCCTAGGATTTTAGGAAATGAGAATGGCCGCAGCCTCTGAAGTTGAAGCTCACCTGAGGGTCGTTTGATGGAGCCAGGAGGGTCAAGAGACAGTGTGGTCGGTGCTGAGGCTTGTGTTCTGTTCATCTTGAAACCGTCATCGTCTTCTTTCTTCTTCTGATTCAATCGGTCAGCAACACACGAAGGAGGGATAACGACTCCGGTCCTCTACCTTTGTCTGATTGAGAAGAGGGACCAGACTGGAAGCAGCAACAGATTGAGGGGGATGTCTTTTTACCAACAACAATGCATTACCAGAGGCAATCGTCAAGTCTCTGAATCAAGAATCATCAGGTACGACATCCACGTTCAAGAATCAATAATCATCACCAGAAAAAGTCCAAGTTCCAGAAATCAAAAACCAAAAAAAGTTTTAGGATTACTTCTCTATAACTCAAGAATCATCAGTTATGTCATCGATTCAATATCATATCTAAATAGAGTCAAAGCTCTGTCATTTGTTTAGTGTTAAGGAAATTGGTCCATGGTGATATCAGATGTGGTAGCTGCCGCCGATTTGGAGGTTGGAGGTGAAGTTCTAAAAATTTCCTAGGTTAGGTTAAAGAAGATGATTTTGTTACAGGTTCTAGGTTTGAAGATTCCCACAAATTATATGATTTTGTTACAGGTTCTAGGTTTGAAGATACCCATAAATTTTACTGATTCTGTTCATGGTTAATCTAGAGATTGAATATGAAGTTTTGAAAAATCCTAAAGAGTTTGTTGATTTCATTTGGCGATTAGATATGAACATCTAGATGATCGACTGCATATTTTGATTTGTTAGAGAAAGAGAGAGAGAGAGAGAGAGAGAGAGAGAGAGAGAGAGAGAGAGAGAGAGAAATTTAATTTAATTACTTATTTTTTTTATTTTTTTTAAATCTGAAAATCAGGAAAACAATTAAAAAAAAGAGAAAATCATATTAAAAAGGGTAATTTATCATTTTGAAAAAAATCAGCATAGATTGGACCAAACAAGCAACAAAATGAAAACTTTGGACTAATGGTGCTAGTTCAAACTTTTTTAGATCAAAATGACAACTTTGAACAAATCACAGGTACCATTTGTGCAGTTTAGTCTTTTCCAAATTCACTCAAACTTGGGAGTTGGGAACATAAAACACCCGAACCTCTAACACAAACCAGCCTCCGCGGTCGGCCCATTTATAAAAATAAAACACACGAACCAAAGAAAGAAGTGAATGACACGCACCAATACTATTAAGATGAAGTGTTGTCGTCATCCACTCACATCCATTCATAAAAACGCGTAATCTACACGCGCCATAGACTTGAATGAGATGTACCAGCTTTCAGATGATTGGTCCACGTCATGCTCACTCAGTGAAATCGAGCTTCAAAATCACAGGTCAGTTTTATCATTACGTTAATTCCCCAATTTGAAAATCACGGTATTCCTTCACCGAATTCCCTTGGATTCCGCTTCAAGTTGTTCTTCAAAAATTAATCGAGAAGAGAGGGTGGGAAGAAAGGAGAAAGAAAAGTATTGTTGAAGAAAGTCAAAATCAATCCACGAAGGTCATAGAGAAAGAGAGAAAGAGTGATCTCGTTGGTTCAATAGATCTCTTTCTCTCTTTGTTTTTCGTTTGAGATTTCTATTTCTTCCTCTTATTTGAATCGTTATGGGTATATGGGAAGTTTTTCTGAATTGGCTGCGAAGGTAATCTCTTGATTTGTCCATCGAATTCGCTTATATTTCGTTTGAATTTGAATGTGCGTGATTGTTTAAGGCAGAATTCTTCTAGGGTTTTCTGTTTGTTATCATTAGGTTGTTCTGGTAACGGTTGCAGGTTGTTTATTCTTAAGTTTATCTATGAAATTGTCAAAATTTTGGATCCTCCGTCTCTATTTTGTTGCGAATTTTAGGTGATGCGATTGATTATGTTCATGGTTGTGAAATCAGTCTGTCAACTGAAGAATATCAATATAAGATTCTTTTAGCACTCACTGAGCTGTTCATTTATAGATATGACTCAAAAATAAGCATATAAAGATGATCTTTGTGAAGGCTAATGTTTACGAGCTTTCTTTCATACAAATTGGTGTAAAATAAACCTAATCCTGAAATCATCATATGTTGTATACAGCCTATTTTTCAAGCAAGAAATGGAGCTTTCTCTAATTGGGCTCCAAAACGCTGGAAAAACTTCACTCGTTAATGTTGTTGCAGTAAGTCAATCAACCCACATTTAGTAATTCAGGTTTATCATTTATTCATTTATCAAGAAATCATCTTCTAACAAGGTCAAAACTGTCTTTTCACTTTTCTTTCTCATAGACTGGTGGATACAGCGAGGACATGATCCCTACAGTGAGTTTTTCTTTTTCTTTTTCTTTTTCCTTCAAATTTTACACCGATCTTTAACATAATCCCTAAAACTGATTTCATCTTACTTTTTAATTTGGGATTTCAGGTGGGATTTAATATGAGAAAAGTAACAAAAGGAAATGTGACAATAAAGCTGTGGGATCTTGGAGGTCAACCTAGATTTCGCAGTATGTGGGAGAGATATTGTCGAGCAGTTTCTGCCATTGTGTATGCTACTTAACTTTCAAGAAATCATTTTGACTTATGATTCTGTTAAAAAGCTTTCACCTTTTTCACATTTTCTTGATTTTTTTTATCATGGGTTGGATGCAGTTATGTTGTTGATGCTGCAGATCATGATAATTTAAGCATCTCAAAGGGTGAACTCCATGATCTTTTGAGTAAACCTGCTTTGAGTGGCATTCCTTTGCTTGTTTTGGGCAACAAAATTGACAAGCCTAGTGCTCTTTCTAAACAAGCTTTGACTGATCAAATGTAAGCCCACTTTTCAACTTTTTCACATCTGGAGGGCATATATGTCTTTTCGCATGGACAAGATATCGGGAGCTAATTCTAGTTCTTATTGTGACTTTTGATAGTCTGGTGTTAGTCGAATGCATGACAAACACAGTACAACATGGCATGTTATATCATAGGATGAAAAGGGCATTTACGTCTTTTACTTACTTATACATATTTTCAATTTTTTTTTTTGTAGGGATTTGAAAGGTATAGGTGATAGAGAAGTATGTTGCTTTATGATCTCATGCAAGAACTCAACAAACATTGATCAAGTCATTGATTGGCTTGTGAAGCATTCCAAATCAAAAACTTAAACTCAATTAGAAAGATTTTGAGGAACACCATTTTTTTTGTGCTTGTTTTTTGGGTTTGAATTTTCCAAACTTTATGTGGAATAGAGGAATATTTGAGTGAATTATGTCATGCTTTTGTTAGAGGTGTGTTTGTATTCTATAATTTTTTAGTTTTTTCTATTGATTTTAAGAAAGTTTCCGTTTATCAATACACGTTTATATTCTAAACGCCTAATCCTCTGTGTATGTATCGGGCCTTTGATATAGATGTTATTTATTGTGTGGTTTATAGCTCAAATCATTGGTGAAATTTTTGATAAATAACATTTTCAACTTGCTTAAGTTTTTATTTTATGCGATTAGTATTAGTGTGATGTATGTATGTCTAAAGTGTATAATTTAATGTGTAGTGTACTTGAGTTATGTATGTTTACATACACAAAATTGGTTTAAGTGAAAAGTCAATAATTTAGGTTTAAAGTTTAATTTGCGATACTTGGATATTGTGTTAGTGTGTTTGTAGTATCTGGACTCTATTTGATGTGAACTAGAATTAGAATAGTCCTGAGTGTTTTATGGACAAGATTTAAGCTAAGTAGGAACATAAGAATTTCGACTAATTTCAATACAAGGTGACTTCACTTTTCAAAAATCTTAGGGTGCGTTTAGTTGCAGAAAAATGAACCGTTTTCCGGAAAATTTTTCCAAGAAAAATGAGAATTTTGAAAACGCGTTTAGTTCGTCTATTTTTCTAAATTTTTCACGGAAAATGAAATTTTTCCGTTTTCTAAAATTACAAACAAGTTGGAAAATTTTGGAAAACTGATGGTGCGTTTAGTTGCGGAAAAATGAACCGTTTTCCGGAAAAATTTTCCAAAAAAATGAGAATTTTGAAAACGCGTTTAGTTCGTCTATTTTTCTAAATTTTTCTTGGAAAATAAAAATTTTCCGTTTTCTAAAATTACAAAGAAGTTGGAAAATTTTGGAAAACTGATAATCATTGTTTTCCATATTTTTCTAATTCCAAATTTTTTTTATAAACACATAGCCACTCCACCCCATCCACTTCTACCTACCTCCACCTTAACACCCCCCACCCACCCACACATACATACCCACCCCCACACACACACCCACCCGCACACACACCAACCCACAAACACACACACACACATACATACCCACTCACAAACACACACACATATATATATACCCACACACACACACCCACCCGCATACACACACACCAACCCACACACACACATACATACCCATCCACACATACATACCCACACACACCCACCAACATACACACGCACACACCAACCCATACACACACACACCCACCCACAAACACACACACTTACACATACATACCCACCCACCCACCCACAAACACACACACATACACATACATACCCACCCACACACACACACAACCACCCACAAACACACACACACATACATACATACCCACCCACCCACCCACAAACATACACACACACATACATACACACCCACACACACACACCCACACACACCAACTCACAAAAACACACACACACATACATACCCACCCATACATACACACCCGCACACACACACCAACCCACACACACCCACACCTACCCCCACCCCCACCCTCACAGACACACACCTACACACACAAACCTACACCTACCCCCACAAACACACACATACACACACAAACAAACACTCGCACCTACCCCCACCCCCACCCTCACAGACACCCCCCCCCACACACACACACAAACCTACATCTACCCCCACAAACACACACATACACACACACTCGCACCCCCACCCACCCAACACCACCACAACAATCACCGACCTACCATCACCACCACCACCACCACTAACCCGTCACTAGCACCACCATTATCACCACCACTGACAAAATTGATGCTGCCACCACCATCGCCTATCATCACCACCACTATCGCCGACCCGCTACCGTCACCGCCCCCACCCACACCCTACTACCACTACCGTTTTTTAAAAATGAAAACCGATATAAAAATAGACATCTAAACACGTTTTCTAATTTTTAAAACTGAAAATGAAAAATGAATACGTTTAACTAAATGCGTTTTCTAAATTTTTCAATGAAAAATGAAAATGGAAAATGAAAATTGAAAAGGGAAAACAAAAAACGGAAAATGAAAATTGTTTTTCCGTAACTAA